TGTTTTATATATATATATATATATATATATATATATATATATATATATATACCATATCCATTTACATGATCCCCGCAGCACCTGGGGATTGTCTCGTTGGCGGCTAGCCATTGCTCGTTGCAAATACAAAGTTGGCTCTGATCTGGGAGAGGAATATTAGTGATCAGTGGGTGCGCCACTGGTGCTGTACACTAGGCGTTCTCTCGACCAACTACTGATAAGGTGCAGTATTACACTGAACTCTTGCTTCCAGCCAGCGAGCATCCAGAGTGCCAGACAAGTCTGTGGTATTTTGGTTGCTTGGATGCGTTCATTGATTGTGTTAATCTGTTCACGGAGCTTATCAGTTAGTTTGTGGACGTTTCTTCACGAACCGAGAAGACATCATTAGTACGCCCGCATCACCAACTTCGCACTGATAATGTTTCTCCAACTGGTGACTAATTGCCAACTACCAATTTCTGCGAACAGATCACCAGCTATCAGAGCCTCCCTTTCATAACAATCTTTGATATTCACTGGCCGAAGGTATTAATCTGTAAGTAATGATAACCTGATGTCGGGCGAGTATGGGCACGTATGATATTGGTACGAGGAGACTCGTCTCGTCTTGGCTGGTCTCATCATTTATGAATGGCGAGTTGCACCGACCCTTCTTAACTCTTCAGATAGTGGGCTAGAATAGCAACGAATCAACCGGGGATAAGCCATCATCCCTGGAAAAATTTGAGTACGGTGAACCAAGGATGATCAGTCGCATCTGCCCTTACGCGGCTTTTGGTGAGTGGGCAGTGCACCTTCAGACGGATCAAAGGGCAACTTGATGCCAACTGACCATTGGGTACATACATCTCCAGTATGATTTGGAATGTAATTTATTGTCAGAGTCTGTTATTGAAAGAAGTACGTTCTTCCGGTAAGAGGGTATTTCGCTTATATGGTTGGCCCATACTAGATTCTATAAGTTCGCTGGAATGGTTCAGCATGGCTTGTTGAGGAGCCGATTGTGTTCAAGTTCAGATCTTGTCTTTTTTGTCAGTTTGCTTCATGTCATTCCAGACATTTCACTGCACTTACAGGTAGAAGGATTTCAACATGTAACTACTATCAGTAGGTAGAGATAGTTCCATTTTGTAACCCTTAAGTCGCAGTCGTGGTTACTCAGTTGCACAGACAGTGGTGAAAAACAGCCTTTTGACCTGGTGGTTATAAGGCCTCACTAGCTTTTACCCAATGGTAGCATTAACCCCGTATGACCAGTCTTATCCGTGGAAACAGCGACCGTGTACCCTTTTGGGTAAACCAAAGATCTTAAGATGCGCTATTGAGAACAGGCGACCAGTGTGTCAAAAATAGTGTAGGGATGTCTTGCCTTGGAAACTCCGAGCAACTTGTGCAGCATTAATTGTTTTCTATCCCTTGGTCATACAGGAATCTTTTGTTTATTCTCACTATTTACAACTCAGTGTTTCTGTCCCCTGAAAAATTTAGCTCTATGTCTGCGTTTTGTTTTTGTTTTATTTACATCCAGATCCAGAGGACAGGAGATCGAGATCCAAATGAAGTACGTTGTTACTTCGTCGATCAGTTTAATTTCTCTTTAGGCCTCTTGTTCTGGCTTCGGAAAATGAAACTACCAGACAGAACGAAATTGACTATATTGAGGGGTCGAGTTTCACTCAGAAAAGTTTCTCCTCTTCACGTTCTCATCCAAAAGTGAGTTTATCACTTTCGGTTGTGTAAATTTATTCTGGGACTACAAGATCAGGGCATTCAGACCATTAACATAAACGAAGGGATTCTTTCCATATTTTTCCAGCTCCTATAGGCATTTAAAACTCCAAACCGATCAAAATACTGAAAGATACGCTAGCTTCGAAATGAAATAGATGAATTTAGTTCACTTTTCCGGATTCTCTCTATGCCCCTTATCTCGATGTTTACCAAATTGTTTTGTAAACTTCTCCAGCCAGCATGTGGGTCGGTGGGCAAAGAGCGAGAAGTAATTTCATCTGCAGCCAGCCCACCTGAGCTTATACAACTTCTCAGGTAAACAGATTAGTCCACCATGTTGATCGGTTCGTGTACAAGCGCGAGATTTGCGTTTGATCTCACTCAGTCTTGTAGCAGCACTTTACACTTTACAGGTGGGGAACTCATACCAAACCTTGCGACAAAATCATTTAGTTTATTTAAAATGGTTCGAATTTCTGAAGGATCTGTACCAAGCAAAGCAATTTCGTCCACATGCCCAATGTCTGTGAACGAACGTCCTGGGTGCGTTTCACAGAAAGGCAGTGGCACGTCGCAGAGGAATGGTAAGAGGGGACAATCGTTTCACACCAATGGACGTGGTGAACTCAGATGAAAGCTTGTCGTATGCCTGTACCTGTCCACAGGAGGTCGCCTACAGTGCCCTCATAAATAATACAAACTTGAAGTGGATACCTTCGATCGCCGGACGCCGCCAAAATTTCTGATGATTGGCACGGTTGAAAGCAGCTTTCACGTGCAGGAAAGGGACCAACGTAGGACGTTTGGGGGAGTGGAGCTGTTGAGTAACTTGGCTAAATTCAGATATATGGTCCACGAATCCTTGTCCAAGGTGAAACCCAGCCTGCCTCCCACTAACCAGCATGTAGAGTGCTGGTTCCTCACAATCTCCTATTGTATCCAGTGCGTCAACGATCGTAACTTTTCCGATAGACGTCTCTGTATGATTCAGTTGCTTGAAAGTTTATATATATATATATATATATATATAAGTCTAATCATGCTAGTAACCAATGTTCACTGGATCATTGTGTCGTCAGACAGAATGATCAAGCGTCCAATCTCAGCTGTAGCGTATGTGCAAATCGGGAAGTACACCACCTAAAGATGATGCATTATCCCAAAAGCTTAACATTGAGTACGTGAATAATACGGTGTTATTCTGTGATAAATTGAGAACCCTATGGAAGTTGCAATTTTTCTTAGAAATGCACGTCCGATCATTACTTGCTCTGGCGTTATTGGTGGAGAACTTGCATCTGCTGGGTATTCTCCGTGCTTGACGAACATACAACTCAATGTTTGTCAAATATACTCATTTCTCCAGCAACAATGAGAATAAAGCGGAACTTGGCGCAGTGCTTGGGCGATCGAGCGCACTCATACCTGTATAATGAACTCCAAGGGGGACTATTTCGGTGGCTGGCCGTTCTAAGGAACGTTGTAAATGATTCACGTTAGGAAAAAATGCATCGCACCAACCGAAATACGGGGCGGTTTGGGCATAGCACATTTATTTGCAGAATATCACAAACGAGAGACTCAGCTGAATCTTTTGTGAAAACCAGATCCATTTGCAGATGAGTGTATTTCTCGAATTTAAGGAGGTATTATGCAATATGGTTTTATCTGGTGTCTGACGGCACGCAAAATCCTGTTGCCTTGAGCGTCTAAAACAATGGAATACATCCGATTTTTAAAAGCCACCTGGGCTAACAATGCCTCTAATTGTTTTTCCTCACAACCGAAATGGTGGTTTGGGCATAGCACATTTATTTGCAGAATATCACAAACGAGAGACTCAGCTGTGTTTCAGTTGGGCCCCCACTGTGGGTCTTGCTACTTTACACAACTGATGGAGTAGCGATTCCTATCCATGAAATATGTAAACTTCGTACAAGCGTTGCATCTAGCCTGGCGTGTCTACCTCCGCTTGTGAAAGCTCAGCATTCATTTCTCTCGTTTCACCGGACTTCAGCACATAGCACGAGCCAAAGTATTTAGATGCCAGAACATCTTAACTGCGCAATACCGTCGCACAGGTTGTTTCCGTAGCCGTTCGGAACAACCTTTTGTAAGCCATCGATTAGTACAGAGATGCGGTGGCATGCAGCGTTGTATCTTCAGTATCACCTTACAGAATAACAAAAACACTATCCGATTGTTTTCACGATGCACGAAATAATGACCGCCAACTCATGGTAGCGACAAGCTTGAGGAAAAGCACGGCTTCAATAAGGTAACGATCAAGCTTGATGACAAACAAAGAAAGCCGGAAGTTTGTGGGCTTTCAGTGTAGAGTATGCTGTACAAGTTTGCTCGATGAGCACTGAAAACTAGACCCCGTCAGCTGTTTTTCTCATTCGATTTTAAACCGCTGTTCAACTGCAGTGTGCTGAATACGTTCGTGAAATTCTTATCCGGCTGACCAATAATGGTCAGCTCTTTTGTGGCTTTCTTGCTTCTCATGAAGAACCTCTCACGTTTGATGTGAGAATTGGGCCGGATAATAGTTTACGAAGAATAAATTCTGCAGAAACTTTTCATAAACATCCAAAATGAAAACCTAACGGGATTGGCTTCAGTTTTGTAGCCGATGAGGCACTCATACTGACCATGTACGAAAGAACAGCGGACATAAAAGGAAGTATCCTTTAGCTTCATGTGGGAATGTCACGGTTTACGGATTTCGCCGGTCAGGGTTGTCTCTTACCACTGAATGCATATGCATTAGAGAACATCATCGTGGTGTTTCTTTGGGGGAAAATTGACTTTCTTTTCTTCCTTCGCGTCTACGTTCACCTATCAAACCAGTGTAACGGAAGATACTACTGATGAGGCATGTAAGTAGTACGTTGTTTTCTCGTAACTTAGCCTCGCGTCTAATGAAGGGTGCATTCCCATGGGGTTTATTACGAGACCTGTGAAACTGCTTTGCACCGTCCGTTTACACTTGCGTAATGGTCAGTGAATATCCATGAAGCTTGAATACGTATGGGAATGTTTAGTTTTTAAAAATAAGGTGAATACGAGATGTTCACTTTCCTATCCAGTAGTTTGTAACCGTCTAGTTGGGGTTCGCTAGTAAACAACCCTGTGGCGAAGGGCTTCCCTCCTTACACAAGAACTGATATCGCCCAGTCTTATTTGTAGGGTGCTCTGCTGAGCCTGTCACTATGACGAACTGCGTCATTCGTGTGCAGTTTGTATTTGCTTCGGCGACTGTCTGTCACACATGTGGTCAATCGTGAGACGTTGTAATGTCATGTTTTCAAGCGTAGCTTTTTCATGTTCTAGCGGTTACGCGAGTATTATAAATCTCGATAATTATAAGTGCTGCCACTCAGATCGATTAGCAATAGCAGACAATGAAGCAGAGCGTTTTGTTCACGCTTACGAACATGCGAGATACTGGTTTTCAGCAGTTCACGTCCATGTGACAAAAGTACGTCAGGTGGATGTAGGGGTCAGCTAAGCAATGAAGGATTCCCAGATGAGCGAACGATTAATTTCTGGCTAACTACGTTCAGACGGTTCACCGTCACAACTGCATTCATTTATCGTTTCTTGCACGATACAGCCTTTTGCTCCTGACTCTTCCGGTCCCGTCGCCTCTGCGACAAAAAGTCAGTACAGCTCTATGCTAGCTGAGCGTGCTCATGAGGCAGCAATATTCGGCCAGCTTACAATACCGCCATCGAGTACTGTTCTGGGTAGTGATCCATCGGAATCGAAAGAGCGCTTGGTCTCCTCTGTGGACACCGTCAAACAGTTGATACATCCACAAGTAAGTTGTCATATACTACATAGTGGCTTAAAGTTTCTATTACCGTTTACAACTGCCATTTTGTTATTTATTCGCGTTTGTACAATTGACCGTTGTCTACAGAAAGTATGTCATTTCGAAAGCCTTTAGTGGGCCAGATATATGTCGTCTGCAGCCTTATCACCTCATTGTTACAGTGTTTAAACTGGTTAAGAGATCATTTGTTGTCTATTGTGGGTGATTCACCCCCGCTGGTGGACAGTGTTTAAACAATGTACCGCCGTGTATTAGGATTTGTCTACGCTGGTATCTCAATAGATACGGCTACTTAGGGCGCACCGGATTAGATGCGGGCGAACAATAACCGAGCTTCGTCAGAGCGGTAACCGGCTTCAAGAGGCTTACCTTGATTCTACCTGCAAGTCAGTTTTTTGGACTCTAGTCACAATAACTTGTCAGTCTTTGGATCCGAGAAACATGTAGCAGTATGCTCACATACCGCACTGCATGCTGTCGTGCAATTCAACACAATCTGGTATTCATCTACCACCCAATAGTATAGTCCATCGATCCCACGTCTCCATCGATGGAATTAAATAAGATTGTGTTGTTTTTGTTTACCTAAGTCTAAACTTTAAAGCGACTGTTACTCCCCCTTCCGCCCACAGTTCGATAAGCCGGATGAAACTGCCTGGAATAATTGGCTAATTCGGCTCAGGGAGCTCAAAGAGGCGCGTGCCAAAGCTGCTGCCGATGCTAAGAAAATACGACCTACCAACGGTGTGCCTGCCAGCTGATTAGAAGATCCCTTCCAACTTGGATTTTGTCACACTTGAGTGTATCTTCCTCAGCTGTTCCACCCAACAGCAGCTAAGTTGAGCGACTTCACTGTACATAATTTGAAAAAAAGCCTGTTGCTACCTAATTCTTTTTATAGTTTCCACATGTATTCTGATTGATGAGGGAATTAGCATTGTTCCATAGCAGTCGTAGTTCAACGTTCGATGTAATAAAGCATTCTCACGAGAGAACATCGTTGAAGAAAGGGGACTCGATCTCCCTCAGGGGTGGTCTCTCGCTGTTGAACTGTTCATAAATACGGGACTGGGTACTGGCGGTTGATCTGTTCTCCCAGCTTGGCAATTAGGTTGCGATCGCTTCGTCACAAGTCGAGGGGACATCGTCAGTACGCCCGTAACATCAGCCATGTACTGATTTCTCGTTGATGGTGGATGAAACGTTTGCAGGCTCATTTCCAAGCTCGACGAACAGACCATGGGTCACACCAGTAAACGCACATGGGCTATCAATATTTAGTGACTCGGTGTTACTGTTACCAGTGACCAATTTACGGCTTCTGCTACCTTCATCACACCTACAAATGCTGGACGAATGCGTCATCCGCTGCAAACGACTACGGTACGCAAAGTAATAGTGCGCACACCGGTTTTCGGTTTGTAGTTTCCTTATCACTATCCGCAACGATTATCAAGTTATGAATGGCATTCATTCATTCCTAATTCGAAAACAGCCATTCGGTGGGTGTGTGAAGTTATTACCAAAGTTTCCAGCTCTGTCATGTTTGGTCACACGACTTTGCTCATCATACATGTGTATGCACTTCTCACAGTAGGAGCGAATCGTGAAATGCTTAGTTAGAAAGTAGGTCCACCTACCAGACCAACAAGAACAAAGGAACAGAACTAATGAAATGGAGATGCTGAACGAACAACCAGAAGCAAGAAAACGAAAACCCGAGGCGATCCGAATGGACCAATTAAATTAGACATTAGCCATTCTCCAAATGATTAGTCATGCTGCGGTTATATATAAACGCAAGCAGAAGTGGAAGATCTACCAATCCATCGCACAATAGCGATGTCTCCTCGTGACGAAACGCTTACAAGTCAATTGCGACGCTCGGCATTGTATCCACTGCAACATGATCAAGGAACCTAGTCTCCGCCTAGCTTTGAGAGCAGCAACCTCAGGAAACGTCAGTCGTAATCAGGGAACCCATGATACGGTGTTTTTGAAGACCCTCTAAATGAGCGTCATTCGAAGACGGTCCAAAAGGACATCGAGCGTAAATCAGCCGGAAGGGCCATTGTACATCAATTCAGGTCTAATTTGCGTGCTGTTACGCAGAATCTTGAGGAATCGAAAAGCCCTGGGAGTGAAAAAAATGGTGCGGTTGCGTTTGGGAACTGCCTCATCTGACACAAAACGTAGTCACAGAAACCGGTTACCGGTGAGGTGGTAAAAAATGAAACCAAATGTTTACTACAAGAAGCAGTGTCCTGAATACTTTCTGCTCTTGAATCCACCTCATCCATTCGACCAGTCAATTGTGAGCTTGAACTTTAAATTTGTGGTACTAATATGCCTTCTTATCCTAAAGCTTTATAAGGACGCAGGGCGAGATGCGCTCCCATTGGCTTTATTCAAGAGTAGATCTTGATGTTTTATCTGGAGAAATTGTGAACAGAGTGCGTTCTGGCATAGTTGGGTCAATCAACCATTGTGTCTTTATCCCAAGAAGTCGAAGCGACTGCTGCGAAACGCAGGCCCAAAAGCACCAGACGAGAATCCGACCACGTAGGGTCCATAGTGATCACACCCTCAGTCGTGTAAATGGGGAACACCACACATACCGCAAACCATCCGTTTTCCTTGACTCCGAATTAACTTTTGAGTCTAGATAAATGGGCTCCTCTACATAAATCTGATCAATGAGGGATGCCCCAGAAATCTGGCAATATTCTATATGCCACTTATTTTCATCCAGTAGCGTTGGGGGGTTAGAGTGAGTTATTCAGAAGTTTTTCCATAACTGTTGAGGTTCGCCGGGGCATCACTATCTCCCAATACGTATGACAGACCACAGATCTACCAGAGAAGACCGCGGCTTCAGCTCTTGTTGGCGAAAGGTTCGCGGGGGACAAATCACTGCGCGGTAATGCTAGATGAAAGAGCCTCCTGTCAGGTTAAGTGACTTCTTTGATATGGACTTTGTCCTGGAAGATATGGCACGCAACTGATCCCGGTGTGGAGCTTATCGCCCGACTAATGCTCCTCTGAAGCTGTGTGAAGTCAGCAAATGACGTTGGTTAAACCCCGCTGAGGATATTTTGCACCAACATGGGGCTGAGAATAGTTCATTTCGATGTTTTTAGGTGTGTAGGTACCTTGCTCTGGGACGTTCTTTATGGCGGCATATGGAATTTCGCAACAAGTCCTCACTTCTCCCTTTCCGCCATTTACTATAGGCTTCTCACTCGGTCGATTGGCAGGTGTGCACTGGTTTTCATTGATACTGTTAACAGTGGTGAAAATGAGAACCAGTAACATGGCCTGCGTGCCTTCCCTATCCCTGTATGATTCAGAGAATTTAAACCTCACTCAATTCCGGTAAGAACCACTATCTCGATTGAAGCAAATGAAGAACGACATGTGTAATATGGCTTCATGATGAATCAATGAATCATCATCCTGAATATAACAAACACCGCTTGACATTTCACTATCAACAAGAGCACAGATTTCCGGGCCTAGTCCAAAAACAAGATACAGCGATCAATCCAACAAGGAATCGGACATAAACGTAAGTATATTGGGGACGAAAATAGGAGGGAACCACAGGCTGACTGAGGTGGACGAGCCTGTAAGGTTGTAAAACACACCTACGCACGTCAGGCAACACTGTCAAGAAGACATAGTCAGTGACAAAATGCACACATAAGAGAGCGAGAAATATGGTTGCAATCCACAGGGTATCGAACAAATTAGGAATGGGACGGTGGGGTGAGGCCCATCACAGCATCTGGTGGGAACATGAGAAACAGTGTTAGGCTGTCGTACAGTACAACTCCACGACAGCAAAGGGTACCATATCCTTTTTCTCAGAATCCACACAAAAACGTGGATTGTCTGCGGTAGAGTTGTCTGTCTTGTGTAAAAACGAAGACCGAACGGTTGAGGAACACTCTATTTTGAATTCAGGTTCTCAGCCTCCGCTAAACGTTGCCACTGCCGAAGCCGGCGTTGATATTTGTTGGCCAACGCATGGATGATAGATACAACAAAGGAGCAAATTAGACCCGAAACGATCAGGAAAATGATTGTCTGGAGCCAGCTTTGATGCTGAAATACAAAACAGTAGGAATTCCGCGAAATACACTCATTTAAAATATCTGTTTTAACGGAAGACTCAGGTGATTCCCAAATACATCCCTCGTTTAGGAACAAGGAATATTGAGGTAATAGGCAAAAGAGAAAGAAAAAATATGAGCTCACACAGGTGCAAGCACAATGCTCACTGTCCAAGTGGCCCTCATTTTCACCATTTTTCCTGGGTCAGTAGTAAAGAACTGACCCATGAAAAGAACAAGTGGGGGAACCAACGCCATCCAAACACCGGTCCGCAATGTTAGCCGTGGCAATAGAGCCCACAGGGAATATTGGTTTAGCAATGCTTACAACTGAAAATACGGTACCTTAAAATCAATGTAGAGCTGGATGTGATGAAGTGCAGCATCAAGTTGAAGCCACAACAGACCTTACATCACATTCCGTATTGCTGGCCTCGTTCATCATTTGACACACGGACTGTCCGGCCGGAAAGTGTTTGGAATCGACTGGGCAGTCATCGTTTCAGAGAGATGGCTCATTAATTCACTCGCAATCCGTCTACTGGAAAATGGGGCGAACCCTTCGAAGAACAGTTTAGCTGGCCTCCTGCAACCCAGCCTGTGGTGGTGCATGCGGGCATACCTTAATCGCCCATCGGAAGAAATAGTACGAAATATCCGTTCTGAAACGTGAGAACATACCAGGACCGGATGTCTATATCTAACCTTGTTCGAGGGTGGCGCGCCGAGGGGGTCAGAAGAATTTTAGTGTTTGACCATCAATGTCTTCGGAGCATTGCCCGAGTCTGGTGTGAATAACGGATCAGCAACGCTGAAGTACGTCGAACGGAAGAAATAGCTCACCCTAGATAGATGAACTGATCACACTACATAGGTTGCGTTGGCTTGGCCACGTGCTGCGTATACCAGCCGACCGACTTTCTCGAAGGACTCTTTTCGCACAACCACGTGAAGGGTGGAAGAGGGCCAGAGGCGGTCAAACAATTACTTGGCAGCGAAGTGTGGAGGCCATTACCAGTAAACTCAGCTGAGCTGGTCATTGTCGTCTTCCTGGAGAAGGACCCCGAGATGGGCCACATCAATGGTTGGAGACATCGTCAGACATAGCTCAGTCGAACCCTCAATGGTGCTGGTTCATCGAGCTATTGCCTTCAATGCACACTTCCTTTCCGAACCCCCCCACTCACGCACCGATTTGTCAGCCCCTGCCTCCAATTCGTAGCTACCAAATCATCCGTGGACGAAATTGGCAGCTACAACCACTGTACGACAAGTACGCGGTTCTTACAGTTGAGAATGATAATGATGCGCGCCTCACGAAACTTTCAGGAATCCGGAACCCATGTGGTCCTTCGGCCACGAGCGGCTGATCAGTAGTGAGATTAACTCGCACCTAGATTATTTGCCTGAAGGTCGTGGGCTTGAAACTACGGTATGTGCGCTACTGATGATGTCCAATATGGATGAAGCAGCTTCTCGGCTCTTGACTATAGAATAGCTTTACTTACATTAAGAAATCTCTACCAAACTTCCCAGATTTTCTCACACATAACAGCTATTGCAGGTACACTCGCGGAAGTCGTATCCTTGCGCTATTTAAAACACCGAACGTCGGTTGGTATAATCCCGTCAGAATGTTCTCTTGCAACCATCGTAGCACATTATTAGTAGGAGTCAGGTTGCTCCGTGACTTCGTGCCACATCCAACTAGATTTGTTAGCAAGAGTCATCAACTAGGTGCACTGGACACAAGTCGTCCAGGGAGGTTGTCACGTAATAATCATGATCACCAAAAGTGTCTGGAGTGAATTATTTTAAGCAATCGCCCCCAAAGCGTGGGTCCATGCTTCCATGGTCCACCCCTATTGTCGATTAATAAACACATGGAAACTTGGTTTACGGTTTACAACCGACGCAGATAAAACGACAGACAGCTTGTGCACGTCGTTTTTGGAGTGCATGCTGAATGTTTGAGTAAGTTCGGTGAACTTTCCACTGGGAACGAAACACACAGCAACTTGGATCCTTCATTGTTTGTTTACTTAATTACTTTATTTATTTATTTATTTATCTGCTTTGACTTCCAATAGACTACAGAATCAAAACAAATGGTGGATAAAGATGGGGTGTTCGGAGTGCTTTCCGAGGCATCGTCTTTCCTCGTTAAAAAACAGGACAGATTCAGCAAAAAGTGTTGGTAACGTTTTGCTGATTGGCATCGCCGTAATCATAGGTAAAACCATTCAAAACGTATGGGAGCGTTTGCTATCTCAAAGTGAAGTAGATAACAAATGATACCTTGAAAAAAAACGGATTCAGTGTGTGGCACTACAACGTCAGAAGAGCAGACAGGGAAAAGCTGTTTATTTCGTTTTAACCAGAGTCCGTGTTAGTATCCGGGATCGAATAAACTCACTGCATTGAACTTACAGAAGTTACTGTTAACAGAACCCGTGGATCAAACTGAACGCAACTGATCCTACTGCAACCAGCCGGTCATTATCAACGTAGGGTTCATGATTTCAATGATCTGACTGACTCAGCTTCTTCATAAATGAGTTATATACAGTTCCATTGCAGTGGAAACACAGTACCACAGGGAAATGGAGTATTTAGCCTCTCCTGGAGGTTATCGTTTCTTGCGAGGGGTTGCTTATCGCTTCGTGGCCGACAAAAGTTTTGGTGCGTATTCTCCAAAAGAATGATGTCCTCCGGAGAATACTGTACCAGAAGACAGGAGCAAGATCTACACTGTTCACAAAAAATGGCTACTCATCATCAGTACGTACGTGAAAGTGGGCTAACAATCCTCATCACACTTGTTTGTCCTTTTGAACTACGGACCCTGAGGGATGGTAAAATATGCCCACCAATGGATTGTCCCAACTCGAGATGGTAGACAATCACGCGTCAAGCCACCTAAGTGAACTTTAATCTCACGTTGTAGCAAGAGCCCTAACAAATATGACATAAAGCGAAATGATCACATCTGGTTTGTTGGGCAGAGAAAATGTATCTCCTGATTATCAGAGCAACTTTAAGGGCTAAGTGAATTTCAAGGCGACCAACGGAGTCGACGCACCTTAACTTATTATGACAGATATACAGCTAGTATAACTAATCCTTAGCTGCTCTTTTCAGCGGCAACCAAAACACTAGGATGCGGCTTTCATGTTTTATGATACATACGCCTTTATTGTATTCATACTTTATCGGTTTGTTATCAGGTTGAAACGTGACTCTAAGTGTGTAGTGAAGTGTCAAGGCAAGAGTGCATTGACATGGTTTGCACTGATCGACCAAAGCACATGATAGGTGTGCTGTGGTACGTTTAAATCTCCGTAACTTAAGACAAACGAGCTGTCCGGCGTGACCTAAATCCGGAAGCACTTCCGCAAGATTTCCAAGTAGAGTCAACGACCATGTATATGCTCGTGTGCATTTCACTGGTTTACTCTCACTTTTCGATAGTTGAATGAGAGGTTATCCCCGGGGCGCAAAGTCTCTTGAACACAAAAGGGTTATATCACTACCGCTCTCCGTATTAGAGCTCTACTGTAGCCACAAGAAATGGATAGATCATCATAACAAATCATTTCGCCCAGTAAATCTTTGAATGCGTGAAAGAGAGAATAGCTGAACTGATTGTGGGGTGATGTCGGAACGGTTCTGATGAGAAACTAGCATCAGCAATGACACGAAAGCCCTCGCTTTTTTTAAAAAAAAAACAATAGAACTTAAGGTATGAAGTGTAGAGGGAATGAAGAAAACTTGGGCGATAAGAATATGTTTGGGCACAGGGTTGAACATTTCATCTCGGCAAAAGCTCTTTTGGTATTGAGTAAATGAAGTAACTAGGCCGATATGTACCCAAATGAGACTTGATATTTCTGTTCCCCGTCGGTGTTTGTAAACTGTAGCCGACTGAAGCTGGTCAAATTGGAATAATAATATTCCTCGGAATTCCAAAGCTATAAAAGTGATGAGCTAGATTAAGAATCCGCTTCGCGGCTTCTTGTGACAAAACCGTATAGCGGTGGGAAGAACGGCGATTAAATGCAACCAAAAAAGCATCCGTTTTGGAATGAAAGATGAAAAAACCAAATGACCTCCATATTCGGACTTGACGCTGAATAGTCTCTTCAAACACTGTCACGTAATTGGAGGTGCAGATGTAGGACAGAAGACCCGAACGTCGGTCATCGCTCAAAATGAAATTGATATGAAAATCAGACAAGTTCTCACGAGCTTACAAGACGCTTCACTACAACAAATATGGAACATCCGCAAACACCGATCAAGAACTATTACTTACGGTGGTGGTGACCTTGTTATGCAGATTAGCCTTTTGTTGTTGCAGATATTCCAGGAACGGTGCCTGTAAACTTCTTCCGTAAACAGGTATTCGACTGAAATGGTGGAAAAATGGGTGTGTAGGAAGATGAAAAACCTGTGGAATTATTAGCACTGTGAATGGACAAATCGGAAGGGTCCCACATGCGTAGTCGCTGATAATACGTTGAAACCGGTATTTTTTGAGTGGGGTGACTCCAAACCTCAGTGATATCATTAGCTCGAACAGACCAAGGCAGACGAACCAATCACCCTCTTCAAGCTGTCTTCTGAATTCAACACTAATCACCTCCAAGGTCTAACGCTGGATGGGAGTGGCAAATTCGACAAAACCATTCACAGACTGTGATTCTAGATCCTAACGAAGAAATCAGCGACTGATTTAGCCAATTCATGGAGAATGAGCACTGCCCATGATTCTCAACAAGGAATAAATAACCGCGCGGTGCTTCTTTGCATAGATGGCTTCCATTTACAAGAATAGACCGCTGATAAAAAATTTTAAAATCTATCATCCCAAATCCATAAGGGTAGAAATTTATTAGGAAACCACAGACTCTCCGTGAAAACAATGGTGAGGAGAAGAACTAAAGCATCACTTCACCTATGCACAATAAGTTTCGTTGTGGTAAGGGTACGATGCACTAACAATTCAGAGTACTTTTTCAACCAATGGAGAGGCCGTGCTAAGACCAATGACCAAACGACAGAAACACACACCAAGCCCACGATCACGCCAAATATCGAGTCCACTAAGAGATCGATGAGAAACTTCACCTTAACACTTCGGAAGCTCAAGGTTAAAAGATTGTTTGATACTGTTCTGAACGTGATGGACTGCTCTAACTTGGAACTCAACACTAATACAGCTACGACGTGACATCCTAAAGATTCGCCTATCAAACAATCCAGTGGGACTAGTTGTTAAGTGAGCACATCCTAATATCATTCATTCGGTTGCAATGTGTGAGTAACCAAACAAAGTGCATCATAAACTAGTAGACAGGTTGTCCTGAAAATTTGGACAGTATGCGCATGGAAGAGAACAAATGTGCTATGCTTCAGTGATCAGGAATTTAATCGCATATGGGGCGAAACACATCAATATTCATGTCATCCACCACCCACGTTTTATGAATGGTCAGAGCAGAAGTGACGTAGATAGCACTGGTGATGAATGGCCTGAGGACAGAATAGGAACAGTAACGAATTCAAAGGATCGGATGGGTGATGGTGACGTTGTGCTGCTCATTAGGGCCTGTTTAAATGAAGTAAGCTTTTACAGTGACCAGATAACAGCCACGGCACGTAGAAAGGGCGTGACAGTTGACCGCTAATTGATCAGGCTCGATTGTAGTAGGGCAGAACGGTGGTACATCTAATGGCTCGGATAAACCAGAGCTGTTAATGACTAGAAATGTTCGTTATTTCACTCAACCTAATACTTGCTGACCCTATATCAAGATATCCAGACTGTTGAAAATGTACAACTATGAAGCTCAAAGTGAATGGACGAGAGAATCAGCTGTCTCCAGTGAGTACCAAGTTGGTATGCAAATGAGTGTGCCCCACTGAATAGCTTCCTCTTCAAACATGAGGAGTATACAGACAATTCGAGAATATCGTTTTCATAATCGAGCTTTATCGGATGACTTCGAAGGCTAGGTTAGACCGAATCGGTACTCGTATGCAAGCTCGTACGATAGAGTGATTCCAACTACCCATCAGAACTGTTACCTAGCCCCAGCCCTGATAGTGATTACCTCCGAAAGTTTTCGTAGCATGAGGCTGTGTAGTCGATTGACCATAGCTTCTCAAACTGAAATCCGTGCGAAGTTAGCTGCTTCCACATTAGAAAAACATGGGCTAGTTAGAGAAAACTGCATTTTAAAAGATCGTTTATTAAGTGCCCATTCGGTCCGTTACCGAATACACTGATAACCTCGCGGGTGGGTTAGTAAAAAGCCAGTCGATGGGGAAATTGTTTGTTGAGATCCGAAAGCATTTAGTTCGTAGACAGCTTCTGAACCAAGTCACGGTATGCGTTTGTTCCTGACATTGAACACTGCTGCCTTGTATAGATGGCATTCACGAACCACCAGAAAACCTATATATGAAGGCGTCTGACATTTAAACACGGACTGTGAGAACTTGCCCAACCTTAATCCAAGTTTAGTTCCAAGCCGACCATACCTGAACAACAAATGCAGAGTGCATCTTGCAGTCACTTAGCGAATAATCCCACCTAAATCGCCTGCTTGAGTTTGCCAAAGAACGAATCTTCCAAGTGACCGCGTTCCCCAGCCTTGGGGTGTTTTGAATCACCTCATATTCTAATGATTGAATGGGTTCGCATTGCGTACCCAAGGCTATGCTACTCGCCCACTGTTGAAACTACTTCAAAACCATTTTGCAGCGTTGGTAGGAAGAACAATAAGGGGAATAGACAAATGCACAATGGACGGTCGCATGTATGGTCCAAAGTGCTGGACGTGTGCAAATCCTGGCAGTGATCTTCCAAATAACGATCCTTTGCTACTACAAAGTCGTGTGAAATCGTAAACTGCCTCGCTGCAATCGTCCCAGAAAGTTTGCTTCATTCGAAGTTGTAGATGAAGGCCTGTCTCTAGTTAACCGTCCAGTAAAGTGAGACAAGGCAATGTTACAATCCATACCAAAAATGAATGCCGTTCTTTTGCGAAAAACGTTTGTCAAACTACGAAGCGCTGGCTTATACACCATATCCGACATACCGGCTTCAGAGCCGAACGAACCTGCTGACTCCCGCCAGCATAAGCATCTACCTTAATTGTCGTCACTAAACTAGACGGGGCTAGGTGATCTCCGCCGAGCCCTTTGAGGTAAACTAATATTGCGAATTTCTTCAGAAGACTAAGTTCATCCACAGGCCGTATCAACACATTCAGTGCATGCAGACATGTTTTCCTTACCTCCTTTGATTACTTATTTTGAGTTAATCCTCGGAGGCTCAATCAGGGAAAAGGCGCGTGCTTAAGAAGTCCCACACATGTTCCAAGGAAGACATTTCCCGTCAAATGCTATGGCGCTACCAGGGAGTGCGGTCCCCACCATGGATTTTTCACTACCGTACTATTCAGTACACTGTCGGCACCTGACCAAGGCTGTTGCTTCAACCCAACAGCAGAAAGCCAGGAAACAGTCACGAAAATTCATCGGATCCTGATTTACCGTCAGGAAGATTTATGACCTAGAGTAGGTAGGATGCATCAATCAACGCAAGCAATCCCCAAAGTCGATGCTGAAAAATATGAGTACTCCGGGTGCGTCGTTTGGCTGTTGGCTTGTTTACTGAGTGTGGTAATCACCAAGATCGATGAAAAAACAACAGCAGTAGAGAAAACTTGTTCATAACTGAATAACTAAGCTGACTGGTAGTTGCGGCTAACTTGACGAGAATCAAAGAAACGCTTCATCCATATTCGTCAGTGAGATACATCCGTCGTAACTGAGAAAGCATGGTGTCAAAAAACGTCTCAAGCTTCGTAAATGTGGATGTAACGAGTGTAGCCAGTCAGTCAGTTGGCTAGTTCTTCACCTAGGAGCTGCGTACCGGGGTAAAATGGTTCACGTCGTTAGACGTGTTCAGCGATATAACTATCCAACAACAACAGGTTGGCCACTGAGGCATTGAAGCCAGGTGGAGAAAGGTGAGTTTGAAGAGAAAGATGCAGGGTAACGGTATTTCATGACATTGCTGGATATGAACTCGGGCGAGGGTTTACCATAGACCTGTATGGGCCTGCGATAGTGGGATTAAAAGAAAAGGGAAGTTCGGGGAGATATCTTTGATCGTCAGACATTGCGTGGCGATCGATGGAGACAAAACAAGCCTCTGAATCAAGAAAATGAGTAAGTACGGTCATGGAGAGGAAAGCCACCGTTCAAGCACCGGTCGTACAGTGAAGACATAGTCGATCGATCCACGTCTATGGAGATGAACTTGATTCTCACGAATATGATCCTCCTGATGATGAGAAAAACTGGGTTGGATGTTACCAGAATGCGCCGATGACGCAGTGATTTTTGTATGATGTCTTCGAACCTCTTTCGAGGAATGAAATAACTGCAGGAACACTTTCGGCATTTGTCCCTGTTCCCGATCGCTCACCAAAGGATTACTAGACCAATTACGAAGGATTCGCCGCTTTTGGAATTTATAACAAACTACCCGTCCACCGAGAATCAGGATACTATTCATATTAGCTGTTACGTAGGGCCTTGAATGAGAACCCTTTCTGTGGGAAGGAGGGTGGACGGTAGAACCTGTCGCATCTTTTTTCCAGTAGCTTCCATGAGGGTGGGAAAGACGTTGCCATTCCGGCTGAACTGAATGCTCTAGATTATCAGTGATTCCCATAAACCAGACAAACTACCATGATGATCGCCAACCCTGTTGTCATTTAGATCATTGGGAGCTAGACTTTTTTCACTTGACTAAGCCCGAAGAACCATTAAACATAGTCATAAGAACAACGCATTTTTAGATGTGACAACAATAAGTGGGAACTACAGAGTTGTGGTGCGCTTCTTCATCCCATTCCTTAGCTATATCGCCTTCAATCGATATTTCCATCGTGAAATGCCAAAAAGAACAGTGCTTTATGCGAGCACCCAAAACTAAGCTGTTGGCTCAGTCAAAAACAATCCGCCACTGTACCAACTATTGTGTCTGGTTAACTGATGAATATGAATTAGTGGCATAGGTAAACTTCATTATGGTGTCTCTTTGAGGAGTAAATCAGCTCACTTGCAGAAACCAGAATGAATCTTTCCTCTGATTCTGTAAAAACTGTTTCTCCGATGACTGAGGTGGGAGAATTCCGTGCCTTCAAAGTTGTCTCCTTGTTGCGGTTTACTTTGGAGGAATATCCGCATTCTTCAGAGACGAGGTACTGTACGCCTGTTTAAGAATTGAACGAAGGTTTACTTACGCACGGCAGTGAAGCATCAGTGGTAACACTGATGTTGCTGTCTTTGATGATGATGATGATGATGATAGGCTCATCGGACACTGGCAGTTTGGTGTTCCTCCACGTTGTACAGTAATCTTAAATCTACCATTTTACGGGCCATCAAATGCACTTTGTCGACGAACAGTTGCTGCGCAACCAGTAGGAAACCCTAGGATTGAGGTGGACACAATCCAGGAGTCACAGGCGACTGGAACTACGGACGTTCCGGTAGACAGATAGCACTTGAAAATTAATACTGCCTCGGGCAATCCACAATTACAAGAACCCTTATCAATAGTTACTCCTTGATGAATCCCTGTTATCTTAGTTGATGACATCAAATGTGCGATCTGTCAAGCTCATACAAGTGGGTATTGAACATAACATGGTAACTTGAAGATCCTAATTATCTGCGTGTGGTACAACCGCATTCTCTGCTGATGTGAATCGCAGTATAAACGAGGTAGGCTTTTGAGGTTCTGTGTTAAACCCTAGGTCTGAGAAGAGTTATGTTCGACAAGGCCGTAGAAGGAACATACAGCCGGACAGAACCATAAGCGTGAACCGAAAACGGACGAGTTTCCACATAATCACATAATATTGCTTCGGGTCTAGATTGGAAAACGAAACCACGATGAATAGGTTGGATCGGTGTATTGAAATGTTCAGCTGTAGCATCCTTCCGGTGCCTAACTACCATGCCACCAGAAAGAAGCACGAGGGCCGGGATACTGCCAGGTTGCCCAAGCCTGGACAGAGGAAGTCGAGAGGCAGAGATCAGGTTCCAACCACGGACCTTCCGGTCAGTAAATTCGCGCTTTAACCCCTGATCTATCTCGCCCCAGGCGCAGTGGAGATGTCGGGTTTGAGTTCGAACCAAAAACCTTCTGATCAATAAGTTCGCGCCTTAATCACTCAGCTATCTTAGCCACAAGTATGGTACGTATGGAGCCACATACAAAAGAGTGTGCACTTTCTCTTAATGGTACAACAGTCCCTTAGTTTACCATCACCCGCATAAGACCCCCATTAAAAATAGTGGGATAAAATGGAGGTGGGCGAGTAGTCAATGAATGATAGACGAGAAGATCTCACCCCATCAGGTGTACCAAAGATTCCACATGATGTTCGGAACTAAGGGCGATCACAGTGAACTGCTGAAGATGAACTTTGATGATGGCCTTGCCAATGACGGTTGCTCCGAAGAACGACCAAAATGGAACTAAAAAGTGTCCACAAGTCATTCCCGCCAAGTCGAATAAAGGGTTAGGAACCTGAACAAAACAGAGGTAAACAGACAGATAGGATGACTAAACGGTAACCAGATCTTGGGAGAATAGTTTTCAATTCTGTTCGTCCCAAATGGACCGAGATTTATCAATTATTTATAAACGTCATGGGGGTGTATGGAATACACAACAGGAAAGATACAGCAGTGAGCGAACTCTGGCAAAACAATATCACAAACTCTTCTACGAACATGATTCCTTAGCAATGCTCAGATTTACGTCTTTTGTTCTTACCGTAACTTTCTTCAAAAGGAGGATGAGTCGGCCCCGAGGACACCCTAATTATCGCGTCCATGAAGCGAGGAAAGCACCAAGGACAAAGCGATCCCTAATGGCGCTGACAAAATGGAGGCCCTGTTGATCAACGTCACTCCTAACCCTTCGGAGCCAAGATTTCAATCGTCCTTCAATTCACCAGTGTCGCTCTGAGCAGAACACTGAATTTTAAAGTTTGAAACGTACACGGTGATACTCACAACAAAAAGAATGTTTCAGTAAACTTCAGGTCATCAACAGAGCACAAAACGACCACATGTACACAGCTAAAAGTAATGCCAATCACGACTCAGAAACCGAACACATCGACCGAGTTTGGCACCCAACACATAATCCAATGGTCCACCGTCAAAAGCCGAAAGCACTTTACCACGGAGAAATGAACGGTGTGCTCGAAGCTACCTCCGACACGTATAGAATATAGTCGAGGGTGAAATGAAACTAAAAGCATGAGACCTCAACAGCTTGGGATATTTCGTTGAGACGTAGGTCAACTGCATTTACTGGAGGCTTTGGGCAAGGACGGAGGGGGTGACTGAGGGAATGCTGATTCTTCCTGTGAATCGACGGCAATCAGCAGCTATTTTCTCCGTCTGACTACCCAAGAGTAGCGTGATTTACGCGTGTTTACCATAATGCCGTTTTGCATCTCCACCGCTCGGTCGCCGCTTCCTTTGCTTGATGCTCATGGTTTGTTTACCCTGTAGCTACTATCGAAATTTTGTCGCCTGTCTCTCTTCACGTGTGATTTCGAGTGTCTGCTCCGACGGAAAGTTAGGTGGCCAGGGGATCAAACTCGGACCCCTCGGTTGTCAGATAACCGCGCTATCCTTGAGACAACCAAACTCCCTCGATTGTCCAATTTTGTATTGCCTTTATGTTGCGCCCTACCTGATAGTGCTTGTTGGGATCCCGTTTTACACCTGCCTAAGAGCACACCTCGACTTGACACGTAGCACAGGTTACTTTGTCAGGCTGTGAGTTAAAGACTGCAGGTAGTATATTTAATTTGAACCGAATTCACCCGATGCCGTTCTCCATTATTTTCGTTTCCTTTTAATACGGAAATACTTTCCGAAAGTATTGGCCGTCTTTTGCACCGTTATCTCTGTATGCTGCCTGCTTACAATGCCTAAGTGTCCATATTGGTATGCTTTATATCACTTGGAACATACTCGTTACTGCTTCCAAAAAGCTCTTTTGCCTCACTGCACCTCTTACCCACTGCGCTATTGTTGGTTGCACGTTATACTTAATTCATGATGTTTTGTCAACCCATTTGCTCATAGAATCCATTTTCAACACAGTATCCACCACCCTCACCCGTCTGTTCCCACGTCCCGATATCTACTGAATATCAACTGCGTATAGTCCGATAGCCCCAATCGTCCTGTAAGCTTCTAAGTCACCCGGATCTTATGGGTACTTCATGCTCTCCCGAAAGCTTTCAGTTTGTGCATTAGCGAATTCCCCTATTCATGACCAATATAATCCGATGGTGCAACTTCCGAATAGGTTCTGGGTATCAATAAACATATCCTAGAGAAGCCTCGTTGTCAGAGTCAAAGAATGGACGCTGGAATGCACTGAATCGATACATCGTGGATGGTACAGTTGAACACACTATCATAGCAGGCCGGGGATATGTGCGAGATGTCCATGGTTGTGGGAAAATCATACAACAAACGAATATGAAGCGCAGTGGATAGTGGATAGACCACAGGAAAACATCTATATGCCTGATCGGCCAGTTGACAGCGAAGAACGTGCACTTTCGAATTAGCTCTTGATGCCTTTCAATCGCTGTACATCACCTCACGTGCATCCATACAGGTCTTAAGGATACTGAATACTATTAACTTGCTGAGAATCGTGATGCGCACAAAAGGTAAAACTCATACTATGTAATATGCACGCGGCAGGAGTAAGCCGAAATCACCGTTTGCATAAGAACATAAAACGAAATCTGACGGCACCGGAAATCAACCGTCCGTGTCCACTGGATTGACGCTGGTAAATGACTCAGATTAAATGACTTGCAGGCCCAAGCTTTCATGATTACGACACTCACGTATAAAAACCTGGGGGATAAACTCATCTTCACCAGTGGGTGGATCAAGTGTGACAAAGGTTCCAGGTAAGGCAGGCCAAACAGAGCAGATCTAATTGTCTCGCACGTCAGTCACCTGGAAATGTTTTAGTCATACAACTCCGTCGGTCGGAAGACTTCCTATAAGCGTAAATCCTGTGTATGTAACCTCTCCACAGTTCGGCTGTGGAATGGGGCTATTCATCCTTCGATAATGCGAACCTTAGCTACCTTGTGGTAAAAGACACTACCTCACACAAAATGTCCTTAGTGATTTGATATATGCTCCAAGGACAACCGTTTGAAGTTGGATGCTTGATTCGAGAGAAGATCGACAGCTGATGGTCATGTGATTTTTCAGTCCATTACTCCCCGGGTATAACCACCTAGGTAAAATTACTTCAACTTAGATACGACCCACCTACGTTCGTCGATGTGGCGGGAACGTAGTTTTATTTTTAGGGGGATATTTTACCTGTCAGATCTTTCCAGGCATTTAGGTTTCATTCGTATGTGATCCGTCTTTTTTCACACGGATATCAACTCTCTACTGCTACTGCTACTATTAAGGGACCTTTGGTGCTCCAAACCAATAAAAAATACATAACATCTCTTTCGGTACACGTACTTCAACCTTACACTAATTTGCATAATGGGAAATGATGCACAGGACTTATCACAAACCGTAGGTTGATCGATGAACACACAAGACATTGAATAATCACGGAGCTGATCCGAGCACACAATTGTGACCGTGTACACGACTGTATAAAAAAATGAAAAATCAGTTTACACTCTCTGACATAAGTCGTTAGTGCACAAACTTCGAGAAGTAATGACCCGGATACGTCAAACACCCAAAAATAATTCAAATTCCGAGGTTGGAGACTGCTGACTCACTGGAGGATCATAAAATTAGCAAGCTTGCACCCATTACAACTGACTTTGAAGGACTGATTAATACAATTAACAAAATGAGCTCACTGTAACCTAACATTCTCCATACAAAATGTCCCGATAGATGGCAAATCTGTGCGGAGAACAGCAGCCATAATGATCGTTCCAACGAGAACAGACTGAGAAAATCCGAAAATTCAAGGGCACTCAGAATGGTCAGCTATCTCCAAACCAGTGAAAAACACCAGAACAAATAACCCACGTACCGTACAGACTAAATGGATTAAAGACGAGTAACGTTAAACGAAAACAGAGGATTGAGTAACCTGAGAGAAACATAATACTCATAAGGCAGCCCAGGAATGGCTTTGCCCTTTTTGCAGTTCACTAGGTAAATCAGCTGTAGCACCATTTCGGTGCCTAGCTACCATGCCACACGAAGGCACGAGGGCTATGATACTACCAGGTTGCCCAAGCCTAGACAGGGGAAGTCGAGGGGCAGAGGTCGGGTTCGAGCCTTGGACCTTTCGGTCAGTAAATTCGAGCTCTAACCACTTGAGCCATCTAGCCCCGGTTCACTAGGTAGATGCAGACCCCGAGTTTCCATCAGCCTTTTATTCTGATTGAATATAAAACTGTAAGCAAATGGGTAAAATACACTCAGTACTTGATGTCAGCGGTATACAAAACCGGATCTCTCGTCTGTGGTACTCTTCAACTGAATGTGCTACACAACGGCCTCGTCAGGTTTCGCTTGTTGTGATACGGGGCCTCGTCAGGTTTCGCTTGTTGTGATACTCGAAAAATCACAGTAAATTTTATTGAGGGAACGCTAAAACCCCTCGACGGTGCATAACCGGTTTCACCCTCCTTGGGACTCATTAGGTAGGCGCAGTAACCAAGGTACCGACATGAGACGGCTTTTGTGTTGCATGTTCAGTTGAAGAATGTTAAAACGATGAGTTCAGCTGGATCCAGATCTCACTTAAAAAACGGAAATAGTTTGTGAATGAGTGTAGTTCGATAGTAGTACGTTTTGATAATGATGAAAATTGTCCAAATGTGGTATCGTACCGAAAAATCATTTCACTATCTTGACTACCGATCCAACTGAAACAAGATGGAGGCTTTGCACACAAATGTTTGAAGAAAAACAAATAAGATCACTTTCGGTCGAATGTTAACAACATCTTTGATTACAAATAACTGCTTAGCTTCACACAAAGTATGAGTATCTGAAGAGCCACGATACGGAGTAAAACGTACATGATGATGGGGTCAAATAATCTAACACTGACCCAAACACTCACTGCCATGATCGAACATTCTCCGAATCAGCACGCAAATATCCAGGCATTGTTCGCCGCTCAGCTATTGCTAGGTCTGTTTGTGATTGAAGGACTACTATCACTTACGGGTTGATAGGTCATTCGGCTATTGTATCCTATGGATATATAGAGTCCAGGAGATCCGTAGGAGAAAGAGGGTAAGATCGTAGGCTAGTAAACCAGCCGTGTTCTCATGAGAAAGCGGCCGTTTTCACCTGGCTAACAATAAGCATAGATTTCCCCGCCAAGTGGCGTACATCCTCGCTGAAGTTAGCCAAAATGAAATACAGCTGGGGTCGAATGGGGTAACGTCAGGATTAACTGAGACATCACGAACAGACTAGGGCAGCAGACAGTTCCGGTGAACAGTTTGCACCTTGGCATCCCAACCATCCAGGAATCAACCAGTATCAATTCAGTGCAGTTGCATGTTTTCCTGTTATCAGTCGAGTTTTTCTTGACGCTTTCATTTCGACACTAGTAAATTCCGAATGCATCCGTTTCAGTCATGTAAATCTGAACAAGTAGCACATTTAACAGCTGACAGACAGGATGTACTACTCCAACAGTCTGGTCCAGCTTTCCACTAACGGTCGTTCCCGTAAGGAGATACATGCTGTCCTTTCTACAAGAGCTCATTACCAGGGTTGTCTTAATGCACAATACACAGTCCGAGAGGGCGACAGTAAACCAAATAAGGAAGGAAGCAATACTCGTGCTGCGGAATCCGACAAGTGAATACCTAACCCCATCTGATGGACAGTAATCAAGTACGAAACGTATCATTTAGATAAACGATGGAGGAAACGGAAAAATAACTTCTGAATATATATATATATATATATAATGGACTCACGGAGGCACAAAGCAAAATTCCCACAAATCCCGCCCGGATGATCAACCGGTGAAGTAGTAGCTCAGCTCTCTTTTGGAATGAGAGATCTTTCGTGTGGACTGAATCAGATGTCTGCTCCGTGGCCAAAATTTCCTCCAACTCCTTCAAATCCTCATCATTGTGGCGGTCAGACAGCCTCGCTCCGCGTGCCATGAAGTAAGGTGGAAGTTCACCAATGGCAGTTCCAATGCCCTATAACAAGGTAAACATAATTAAAAGAGGAAAGTAGCGCGGTAAAAACTGGCAAGCTGGGGAGAGTGAAAAAGTTTTAAAATGAAAGGGGGAACATGTAGTTGTATTTGTAAGGTGTCATTGACTAAGCGTAGAGAACAACCATGTAAATGGTTTACCCAAATTGAAAGAACCAAAAACAGCGAATTCTTATGTACAAAAAGACGGCCTTCGGAGATACTGGGTCTTCTGCTAACCTGCTCAAATCTGCTGCGTATGCACTGCAAGGTGAATGCCCCACAAAAGAACAAGGATGTCACAGTGATGACCCGATCGAAAGGGAAAACAAGCATGCAGAAAACAATTACCAAGGGGTCAGTCCACTTTGTATCACTGTCAGAATCCTGGATCGCATTCCGGTGAATTGCTTGAAAGCAGAGATCTCCGATGAAATCTCTCAGTATACCAACATTTTCCCAATGACTAGGTGCTCAAGAATGCCCAGAAAAGTGGAAGCAGGGAGGATGGGACCTAATACAGTAGCATTAGATACCTATGGGGAACGATGAAGGACAAGGTACCTACACACTAGAACAGCACGGAGGTAAACACGTCTGGGCATCATATCGAGGTAAGGCGACATCAGTCTGGCTAGAATGTGACAGCATGTTCGTAAATGGGATCGGTAGGGTCTCTAACCACATGAAAGGAAAATCACTGCAGGTTCACTGGCACTAACCAACATGAGCTGTGGTTCGGATGCGCTTGTCAGGTAACCGAATACGTCTCAGTTCGCCAGCTCGCAGAGGCCACGTCTCGCAGCATTACAGCAAAACAACCCGTACTGTAGCCTGATATATACATCCCTTGAGATTCAGAGATAATTCGCTGTGCCATCACATGTGCCTCGAATTAGAAAACGTGACCGGAGACTGAGGGATCCGTATATTGACCCCATCTGTTACACTAAAGTTGGAACATAAGGTAGAACATAAGGTTGACGGAAACTCGGGGACTGTGACTACCTGATGAGCCCCAAGAAGGGCGAAACCGGTCGTGGGCTGTCGAAGAATTTTCAACAACCCTATAAAAGTAGTGCGTTACGAATCTACACGACTTCCAAGATGCATAAAACGCTACGCAACCTCCACTGTCTCTTCTGCACTGCAAGTGGCCATCCAAGGCACACGCTTTTGCGTGCACAGAAACATCGCCTTACACTTTGTGGGTGCGAAGAGTACACCAAAGGATGGAATGACTTTGGTCAGGTCATCCAAAAACACCCGCCTCGTCTGTGACAAAACTGGAATGGACATTGTTACCAATATGCGTACAGAAACTTTTGGACAGTTCTCTGTATAATCTCACACGTCCGGTAATCAGAGAATACAAAGAAGTTTAGTTCGCAGATTTCCGGGGTATCTCTGCTGAGCAAGCATATTTAGAACAGGCCGGTCACCTGAGTCAAACGCGCTTCGGAAATCCCAGAATAATAATATAGTGGGCCACTTTTACGTGTTGTTCCAGGAGCTGCTGGAGTGGGAAGACCTAGTGAACACAACCCCTACTAGGCCGGAATCGTCATTACAACTCGCGAGTCAAAGTAATCTCATCTCCAGGCAATCCACCGGAAACTATACAGCTGCCCAGGCAAACAAATTATTTACACTTATCGATTGGCTCGCTTGCAAGCAGGAGGTTAGGGTTTGATCCCACCGTCTTGTAGCAGCAATTTACACTTTGCAGGTGTGAAGGGCATGTCAAACCGTGCGGCAGTTATCTTGGTTGTAATATCGGCTGCAGTTGGGAAGGATCTGAACCAAGGAGAGCAATATCCTGTGAGTGAACGTCCCGGAAACACTTCGATCCTCGGGGTTTCAGAGACAGGCAGAGAAATTTCAAGCAGCACATCAATAACAGTTGAAGAGGAAAGGCGAGAGGGCAACCTTGCCTCACACCACCAGATGTGGTGACCTCAGGCGAAAGCTCGTCGTAAATCAGCTGGTCATATGTGTGTGTGTGTGTGTTGAAGACCAGCTGAAGTGTCCAGCTCATAGCCGAGGGAGTGAATTAATGTTCCGCCTCTTTCGCATATCGCTTCGATGATGCTTATATTTTTTGACCGGCTGATCGAATCAGCTGCAGCGAAAGCCCTCCCCATCTCCTAGGCCTCAAAAAATCCACCACCAGCATTCTCTACCATTCTTCAATCTCTTGATTGTCCCGTGTTTGAGGAATGTGTGTCGATAGTTGGAAAACAGTTCTGAAAGCTCAAAGCATAGCTTGTCACATCCATTTAAACTCCAACCAATCTTCGTCATCCGTATGACTAGCTTTCTAGTCAGATCAGTTCGGTGTCCTTGAGGTGCTGAAACTTGTTGAAGTTGATTAATGGAGTTGCTCTGGTTTGGCGTGCGTAATGCTGACCGAAAGCGGAGTGATAACCGGGCTCGCACAATGGCATGATCACAGTCAAGTTGCATGCACCAGGAGGACAATCCTTAACTGAAGCTTTCTATCAGTAACTCATAGCCACATGGTCCAGTTGAATCCATGACTGTCCTGCGGTTAGTCTCCAAATGACTCGATGTAAGTGCTTGTGTTTGAAGTTTGTACTGCACACAACTAACGTAGTCACTCTCAATTATCTGTACGTTGAACATCGAATCCAAATCTATCACTTAACTGTGCTTCTTCCAGGCCTGATTGTCCAACATGTGAATTCACATCACCCGTTAGGATAACTATATTCGTCTTTCCCGCTGGCCGAAGCAATCATGACAGATTTCGATAAAACCCGTCCTTCTCAGTCCCAGATTTGCTCTGTCGAGGAATATGTTGATACGACGAATAAACACCATCTACCGCATCGACATGCATTGATATTAACTGAGATAGACGATATATTGCCAAGACGAGTGTTTACTCAGATCCAGTCCAACAGAGCGCTCTCAAACTTGGTGCTGAGTGCCACTCCCACACCGTAGACACCACAAGTTATTGCATCAGGATTAAGAGAGTGAAACGTGGAACATTCGATCTCATCCTAAACGGCTTCTTGTACTCGTGTTTCGCAGACACGACATACATTGACAGATAGGGAAAGGTTTCCAGAAGAGATGCCTGTTACCAATGTGACATGGAGTATGGATATTGAGCGCTGCAACACGGGTCAAATCTTCTGACGTTATTAAGTGATTATTTTAGTTTGTTTTCCTGGGCGATAGTTTACACATGGAAAAATGGCTAGAGGACTAGAAGAGGGGTTGATCGCATTGCATCATTCGATGGGTGGGGAGAGGGAGTGGGGTAGGGCTGGTGAGTTGCGAAGGCAAATGGTACTTCCCGGTTTCCCAAACCGAAGAAGGTTTGCTCGAGGTACCCCAACTTGAGTCTGATCCGCGAAGCAGCGTACAATGGGGTTTTATTTGGAGACCCTGCCCGGGTCCAATAACCCAATAGTCTGAACAATTTGGCTGCATGGGGCCGGCCTGGCCCGGGGACCGAAGAAATAAGGCATTACTGTCTCATTCCTGATGCGGCTGCACACAGCAGGTGCCTTTTGAGCAGTCCCAGGCTCTCTGGTTTTAAAAGTAATCCAAACTTATTGAACAATGTGCCAGCGGTCGCGATCAACCGCTGAGCGATCGAGGTGTGAAGTTTTTTGGGCCAACTTTTCCTAATGCATCCTTCCTCGGGGAAATACAGTATAGGAGCTCCCATTATTATGGAAATGCTGGTCACCTGAAGGGAACGGATTACTGGCTTCACACTCCTATAACAGAAGTTCTACCTCAACACAGTCCCTTAATACGATTTCTAGCAGTACGGAGTTTCGATTTTCTTCGCTGGGCTACTCCCATTTGTATTCTTGGTATGGCTAAACCTTGGGGGCTGAGTTCCAGTTACTGTAGCCCGCACGATTATTGCAGCACAGAAACGCGACCACCACGATAAGGTGACAGCTGACGGTGGTTCGACTTCTATCTCGGTCCCTAGCCTTCTGCGCCGCCCACTGTAGTATATCAAAATGCACGGGAGCTTGAAAATGCTCTTTATGGAGACAGGAAAATTCCCAAAACGGTATCTATAGGGTCGACAGTGTCGCGCTCGGATCTTCACGAGGGTGCGAGAAGCGTTAAACTATTGATGGTTGACCCAGACTGGCTGATATCCTGACAAATTAAGGCAAGCCTTTCTCTAGCCCGTGGCCCTAGCGCGACATATCCGTCCAATCGACGCTATGTTCGGTTATTAAGTACAGCTGGCCTCCGGACACAGCTTTACGTTGGGAGCCACAATATGCTGGATCGTAGAATGCGTTGACAAACGTCAGATTACCTTATCGGACCAAGGTGGAAACTGATGAGACATTCTCAGTAGACCAATTAGTCCCCGCTCGTATTAAATCTCATTAGTACTCAAGACGACTGTGAGACGTTTAGAAAGTGTCCGAGAACGTTATCGGACCAGGTGGAAACTGATGAGACATTCTCAGTAGACCAATTAGTCCCCGCTCGTATTAAATCTCATTAGTACTCAAGACGACTGGTAGACGTTTAGAAAGTGTCCTAGAACGAGTTAGAACAGAGTCCAGGTTTTCGAGGATAAGCAACGTTTTACTTGTCTAAGAACAAGCGCACATGAGCTGAAATGTACATACAAAAGTTCAGTACGAGTATATATGGTAAGTATAAGAATAAGCACACAAAAATCATGACA